AAAAAAAAAAAAAAAAAAAAAAAAAAAAAACCGCCTACGTATGCGATTGTGTCTTCGTCGTGTCCTTAGTCTTTTCATGTTCGTCTCACCCATATCCTTCTCTTCTGCGTATGATGTTTGAGAGTTCGTCGTCCAGTCATTGCATGTGTTGTGAATGTTGTCATGGAGAAATCATGAATGTCTTGTGTGATATTCAGTGCAACCTTCGCCTACACCAATTGCTTTTTTTTTTTTTAATACAGACGAAAACAGACGATTTCAAACGTCTAACTTGAACTTTGTTTTTGATTTTTTTTTTTTCAATTGCCTTCCGAAAACTCTCTCCACCACTCCTCTGGCAACCTTTTGCTTGTCAAACCTCTCCTCATCGGCGCACTGATCGGCCCCTCCATAAGGCACGATGATCCACTCCATGGGAGTATAACCGTTATCGTCGAGGATTGATTGATTGTTTGATTTATTGGTTGGTTGATCGATCGGTTTATGAATTGATTGACTGATCGTTTGAATGTTAGATTGCATGACTGATTGATTGAGTGACTGCTTTGTTAATTGATTGGTCGGTTTATTGATTAACCGGTTCATTCATTGATGGATGTATCCATTACATGGACGAGTGCACTGCGGAGTTGCGGAAGAGGGAGAAACAAAAAACACATTTAAAAAAACAATGATAAAAATCGTTTTCCTTCGATGTGTGTCTGCTCGGACTATCACCCAAGATATACAAAATACATTGAACAAAAATTGACGATGAGAGAACTTCAAACCATAACCTGCAAAAACGGTTGTTGAAGGAAGGCAAAAGAAAGTGTTGGATAGGTTCAAAACACACAATAAAGGCGATAGTGTCGTTTTCATAAAATCGGTGATGGAACACCCCTCCATCGCTCTTCAAAGGTTCGACAACCGAAGAAAACTACAACAAGAAAAGGAAAAAGAATAAAAAAATAAAATTGCACAGAGATGGCCAACGACGAAACTACACGACACTTCTACCCGAGTGCTTTGACACCCCTCTTGTCCCAAACACCACCATGTGCGTCCTCCGCAAGAGATCAACGACCAAGCTACCGTAGTGTAGAGACTTCGCGCGCTCACTCGTGTTTCATGCGCTTCGCAAGTGCTTCGTGCAAGGCCAGCGCCCGAGGCCGATTGAAGTTTCCCGCAATGGGACGGGGTGGGTAATCCAAACCCAACTCCACTCGCTGACGCATGCCATTCACGTCCACCTCCCACAACAAGTTCTCGTCGAAGTCTATGCCGACATCCAGGGGGATGTTGTGCGAAATGCACACGACTTGAAACTGTTGCGGGAGAGTGTCCGTATTCATTTTGTCTGTGCGGAGGAAAAACCTCCATCTCCCCTTCAGCCTTCCGAAAGCTCTCTCCACCGCTCCTTTGGCGACCCTTTGCTTGTTGTCAAACCTCTCATCGTCGACGAATCGACCGGTCCCTCCATAAGGCACGACGATCCACTCCATGGGAGGATAACCGCTATCGTCGAGGATGTACCCATGTGTCTTCACCCCCAATGGCAGCAGCACAAGAGGTCCACGGGAAAGACCCGCCTCCTTGGCACGCGTCCACAGAATGGAAAGCTGAAGCACCCGGATGTCGTGGCAGCTCCCGGGATAGCCGACGAAAACGTCTGTCACAAGCAAGTCCAAGTCCACAACCACCTGCGCAACCACCAAAAAACGATGCTTTCGGTCGAAGTAGTTCTCGGATGGTGCGTTCACTAGTTTGTACATATAGATGTGCGTGCAGTCTATGCAGCCATAGCTGTTGGGAAAACCCTTCGCCACGAACGTGCGTAGAACGACCAGCCGTCGCAACCCAGAAGGCCAAACGATCTTCTTCCGGTACACCCTCAGAAGCGCCCGAGTCACATCCTCCACTGCAATCAATCCTGATGCGCGTCCTATGCCGAATGACGACGTGCTGGTCTTATACGTCTCCCCGCTTGCCCAACCATAAAGCGCGTATGCGATGATATAATCCAGCATCAAAGGCACCCTGTAGAAAGTCACCCTCCGCTGCAGATGAGGGGACAACGCCTCGACGATCTCCCAGAACACTCTACGGGACATCCGCAACTTCTCCTTAGAGTAGCTCCACTGCGTCGTTCGTCTTCCAGAGATCCTCCCATGTCCCGCCTGTCCTTCTCCTCATCCACCATCTCGAAGTCGCCCGCTGGATCGCAACCGACGCCATGGTGCAGCAGAATTGCACAATGGATTCTGATAACTACACACAATCGAGCGCCTCCATCACTTGTTACATGAGCTGCCTCTGCCTGCGAATGGACAGTCTCATCTTCAAACGAGTTGTCGTTCTCTCAATGCGATAAGGAATGGCGACGACCGACACAGCTGCAACCACGGCATTTTTCTTCAAAGTTGTCAATGCATTCGCACCACCCCGCACCTCTCCCTCCATCTTCACGATGTGCAATGCACAACTGCCCAGCACTCTTTCACTCGCTGGCGCCCTCGTTCCATTGTCTCCACGTGGACGGGGATGGGGGCAGCACTCTCCATGCTTCACGGAATAGTGACGTGCCGCCCAGCTATGGCGGGCCACAAGATTGTCACAGACACCCCAAAGACGAATGAGGAACCCGTTAGCGATGTCGCGCGGGACGACCATTACCGTTGGCGCTACGTTGGCCTTTGTTCCAATGCCGGCCATGGCCACCAGTACTCCTCAGACGTTTTGCTCCAGTGTGCACTCCAGCCGCCAGAAGCCTCTGGCGCCCATGCGTCACAACGAAGGTTTCAAAATTCGAAATTCGTGCTCCGTTTTTTTTTTCTTCCAGTCCAGTAGGCTTCCCTGCGGCCACCACTTGTTCATGCCCGAAGATACACGGACATCCCACGACCATGGCGGACATTCACCCCACGCCGCGTATATGTGTATGAAATTGGCTGCGGGTTTTCCTTGGGACCCATTGAATTAGGACGCGGTGCCGAAAACCTCAAAATTTTCCAAGGACTTCCACCTATTTCCTGAGGATTTTCCAAGGAGGGTCCAACGAGGCCCTAACTCCTACTTTCAGCAAATCGAGGCCCTACTTCGGAAAGAGAGAAAGAAGTGGAAACGCAGGAGCCCGCCATTGCTACAAAAAAAAGGGAAATTCATAAAAATAGGGACAGTGGAGCACTGACAGGTAATTGAATTGGTTGGGCTTAAAGAATTAGCCTTTTTTCAAAAAAAGAAAAAAAGAAAAAAAAAAAGGAGGGGAGAGAGAAGGAAGGAGAGGAACGCGTGAGCATTTTCGAGCATGAATACATACACGCTTGTTACTCCCTGTCCCCTAATATCATTTGAAGTGCGTGTGAAGAGCAATCGGCCATTGATTGCTTCTCTTTCTCTTTCCCCCTTTGGTATAAAAACAAGTGGCAGTGTGACCAAAAACTTGGTGATCAATCTCCCATTTCACCATCTGAGAATCTTCTTTATTTAGTAATTGAAGTTTTAATTAATCTTAATGAAAAGATGACCAAATTGGGTTCCATCCATCGTTCACATCGATCAGTTCATCACAGAGAGTGTGCTCTATTGACATCGATCGATGACTCAAACGACAAAAGTTTTTCTTTTTCAACAAGCTGCCTAACTCGCTTGTCCTGATGTCTAAATTGGAAATCCGTACTGTATTCAATAAATATATGATGATGTCATCATTATAAGCTGAAATGGCAGGTTCATGGGATGGATGGGCATGTTTTTGGTTTCATTAATTATTATGCTTTATTATGCTATGACGTTGGATGGTGGGGCATGCGAATGAACAGTTTTTTCTTTCCAAAACTAACACAATGGAAATGGGTTAATCATGACCTTCACTATCATTCCTGTTTTTTTTTTTTTTTTTCCCCGTGTCATCTCATCCTTGAGCAGGGGCCATTTTGATAATTACCCTTCTCTGTGTCGTTCCAATTTTAACGGATGTCCCGAAGGGCACCCTCACTACGACGATTCCTACTTGGACGGTGCATTTCGACTTGGGATGTGCAATGTGTCCATTAGCGTGTAGTATCGCGGCAGTGATGTGCGATACTTTATGGCTTTGCACCCCAATCACCTCTCGATCACACCCCAATCAACTCTTGATCATTGATCACAGCCGTCCACATTGCTGTATCATGTGGTTCAGCTGAAAGGAGCGTCAAGATGCGCGATCCTAACCTGCGAAAATATGGTGCGCGGATGTTGCCTAGTAGGAAAAGATCAGTCAGGCAATTGAACCTTTTTTTTTTTTTTTTTTTGGGAAGCAATTGAACTTCTTGGCAGGTGGTTGGCCCATGTTTTTGTTTTTAAAAATAAATTGGACCCTTTGTCTATTTACGCGTGTCATCCTTGCGCGCAGGGGCCATTTGCTAATTTACCCTTCTGTGTATCGTTCCAATCCTTTTAACGGATGTCCCGAAGGCCCGAAGGAGGGGGCCATGCATTTTTCCCACAAGTGCTGGAGGGATAGATATGAGAATGCCCTAAAGGTAGCCGCCGGGCTCAAGTCAGTGTTTTTTTGGGAATTTGGAATGGATTTTTTTTTGGGATATGAGTCTGCCTTGGCTGCTAGTTTTGGACAGTGAGCATGTCGATCGCCTCTTCCTCTGGTCGATACCCCCAAGTTGGTCGATCGGCCCCCAAGTTGGTCGTTTTGCACGTCTGAGAGCTTCTGGAACCCTTTCGCAGATCGATCGAGTCAACGACATGCTGCGCGCCACCTTGGGCGATCAAATGAGGCCAAAGTGATTATCTGGACACGTGGATTTGGCGGGAAAGAGATGAACATGGTATTGGTGGCAGTCGATGTGAAGAGATCAACGGAAATCGCGTGGTGAGGGGAGGAGGTGGGGAGAAAGAAGGGGAGGAGGGGGGGAGGGGGGTGGCGGCTGGGTAGGGGCGCGCAGGCCCGGGCGTGATGGATCGAGTGAAAGCAGAGAAAGAGGCCGTGCTCCCGTCGTTTTGGATTGAGTACTTGTTGCTTCCGGAGAAGCTCGACGAACATCTTGCTGACGTGGCGGCAGGTGTGGCAATTAGGCCATCCCCTGTGGAGTTGATCACGACGTTCCTTGAGCAGGCTAACAACAGCAGCCGAAATGTCGTTGCTGCCGCCAACGCCGCCGCTGCCATTGCCGTCGCAGCTCCCAGTTCCACATCTGCCGCCTCCAGAAGTCAGGTAACTGTCTTGGCCATCGTCCTTGGCCCTGTCTGCCTGTTTGTCTGTCTGTGGGTCGGATCGCCTGACTGTCAAAATGTGTGTGTGTGTGTGCAAAAGACAGAGACACACAGAGAGAGAGAGAGAGAGAGAGAGAGAGAGAGAGAGAGAGAGAGAGAG